GAGGTCCTCTGCTCCCTGGTGCTCCACATTCCAGCCCAGCCGTGGGCAGGCTGAGCTCTGCTCGGTGCACAGCGTGTTCCTAACGAGAGCTGCAGCTTTCCCTGATTACTGAGGAAATTCCTGGCAATTTGTTCCAAGCCTGGTCGGTTGGTGCTTCCAAACCATGGGCCTGGACTAAGAGAATCCCTCAGCACACACGTCAGAGCCGCAGTTTTTAAGCCGAGGCAGAGAAAGCCAAGAGTCTTTTCCAAACCATTCCCCTCGTGCGCCAGAACCCACTGCACTTGTTCCTCGGGATCCATCACAACATTCCCAGGTTCAAATTGTCTTCTCCTCGTGCCCTAAGCTCCACATGTTGCCTCTGTTCATGGCACAGCTGAAGGAGCCCTCTCCTCCTCTGATCACTCCATGGACAGAGGGAAACTCTGTCCTGCTGCTCCTCCCAAGCCCCAGCCTGGTTGCTCTGGAAGGGTTTTCCTGCTATTCCCATCCCACCACAGCTGCCCCATCATTTACTGGGAGGTACAGCCAGAGAGGGGCAGACTGACAGCATTTCAGCTGCTCTGTGTTAGTGGCTCTGGGAATGTTCTCTGCCTGCTCTGGACTCTCCCACATCCATCATGGGATGAGAGAGCTCAGGCAAGTGGTGCCCGGCAGGCTGCCAATCCAGGCCCTACCTGAGCTCTGGAGAACCTGCTCCAGGAGCCATACCCGAGGAGGAACTTCTCAGCTCCTTTTTCAACAGCTTCTCCTTTCCTCTGCACACTGAGAAAGCAAATTGTGTCCAACCATCCCCTTGTGCAGCCTCAAGCCAGGAGAGGAGGCAGAGGGGCCGTGCTCCTCCTCTCCCTCTTGGAATATTCACACAAAACCCAACAGGAACACAGAATTTTATGTACTTGGGGCCACATCTGGCCATAACATCACTGCAGCAGCATGTGCTGCGCATTCCCCTGCGCAGTTCAGCACATTCCTGAGAGCTGCACGATGATTTCAAGGCCCTGGAATTTGGGAAGCAAAGGCTGTCTCTTGCTGCGGTGCCGGGGGTGTGGGACCGTTCCACATCACTGCCCAGCTCTCCTCGTTGTGCTGCACAAACCAATTCTGAAGGGCAGCAAAGTGCCAGAGGCTGGTTGTCAGGAAAGCCCTGGGAGGAAGTGGGACAGCGAGCCTTGCTCTTGTTTTGGCTCCATCACATGGAAAAGGCAGAGGAGCAAGTGAGAGAGTCACCAAACCACAGCACTGCAGAACAGCTGCTTCTGCTCATTTAAATAAAGCTGAAGGAAAGCCAACACAGGTACAACATACACTTGCACCTGACTTCCCACAGGAGGGACTAAATTTGCCTTACATCCCTGATCCCAAATTCTCCCTTACAGAGCACAATGTTGTTGTCTCATCACACACAACCCTGCAGAGCCATGAAGGGCTCCAGCTCTGCTGAGGGACAGCAGTTCCTTTTATCACTTCCTAGAATTCAAGCTGTCACCTCACCCCCATCACCCAGAGTGCTGGGACAGGCAGCTCTGGAGCAGCCAGGGCAGAGAGGGGGCACTTGTGGAACTGCAGCACTTGTTGACCCTCCGTGCTCCTTCAGAGCATGGATTCTGCACAGGGGGAGGGGAAAGGGCCCTCTCAGGGCCATTCGAGGAGCTGAGGGCACTTGGCTTGTTCAGCCTGGAGAAAAGGAGGCTGAGGGGAGACCTCACAGCTTCCTCATGAGGGGCAGCCCTGATGTCTGCTGTGCCCAGGGACAGGACCCAGGGAATGGCTGGAGCTGTGCCAGGGCAGGGTCAGGTTGGATCTCAGGAAAAGGTTCTTCCCCCAGAGGGTGGTTGGCACTGACCAGCCTCCCCAGGGCAGTGTCACAGCCCCAAGGCTGCCAGAGCTCCAGGAGGGTTTGGACAATGCTCTGAGGGACAGGGTGGGATTGTTGGGGTGTCTGTGCAGAGCCAGGGGTTGGACTGGATGACCCCTGTGGGTCCCTTCCAGCTCAGGATATTCCATGATTCTGTGAGATCCCCACTTCAAGAAACTGAGCCCCAGGAGATGGTGAGATCCTGACCAGGGGACAGCAAGGACTGACCTCTGAGCTGAGCCCGGACTGAGCTCAGCACTCACAGTCATCTGTGACCACACAACCAAGTGACACAAATTCTATCACTGGCAGAATTAGTTTTAGTACCAAATGATATCCAAAGCCTAAAATCATCCATCAATATTTTCATTTCCTACTGCCTCCAGAGCAGTCCCTGCCTCGGAAAGACTCACTTTCATGAGTATTTATTAACTCAGGGGTCTGATGGAGAAATCAATGACCCTTAATCACACTCTAATTCAAATGAAGTGGTCTTGCCCTTATCTTTTATGCACAAACACTCCTACATTAGGCAGGACTGGACCTTTGTTCAGTGCTCAACCATCCACACAGTGTGGGTGGGTAAAATACAGTTATTTGTGAAGTGGTTTATTGCTGTTAAAGGAATTAATAACAGTACATTCATCCAAATCCCATGTCAGCTTGGATCTCTGTCTCGAAAGGGAAACAGCAGGATTTAAGGGGTCCAACAATCAGACAAAAAGAACAATTACAGCACAGAAAAACTTTCAAGTGATGAGAGATTTAAAGGATTTTTGATTGTTTATCTAAAAGAGAGCAAATAAATGAAATCATGATGAAAGTTTACAAAACTAAAGTGGTCTGGAAAAAGGAAACTTCCACTCACCACCTTTTTTAACACAAGCACAAGGGCATTCCCTGAAACCCACAGGAGACAAATCATGATGCAATGAACAGGTGAAAGTTTCATCCAAACCTCCACTTAACTGAGGGATTTCTTACACAATATGGAAACCCAGTCCCTGACAGGGGGCAAAGTGAGATACACGTAAGAATATTCAAAATTCAGGTTCAGCTAAACCTCTAATAGTTCAGGGGTAGAGCAAACCTTCCCTGGGGACAGGTTATCCTGGAAGTGCTCATGCTGAGAGGCTTGATGCCCTTTCAAGCCTTACTGGTGGGAGTGTCCCAAGTGTAAGCACTTCCATTTTGGTTCTTCATGGAAGGGACCTCAAAGGTCACCTTGTTCCACCCCCTGCCATGGGCAGGGACACCTTCCATCAGATCAGGCTGCTCCAAGCCCTGTCCAGCCTGGCATCATCATCCAACCTTCACCACCACCTCCAGCTCCAAGGGAGAGGGTCACCTGAGGTGCCAACACCTGCTCAGAAGTGCTGGGAGTGAACAGGAACCATCCTTTTGGCTGCTTTGCTACTGAGTCTCACCTTTGTAGGAATCACCTGGGGAAAAGCTCCCCAGACCTCAGTGCCCTCTGGCCCCCAAGGGGCACAATGCCCAATGCTCACCCGGCTTATAACCCTGGCTCTTGCTTTTCCTCCCTCTCCCCAAGCACGTGAAGGCTGTTCCCAAACACTGGGAGCACAAACATCCTCCTGGAGCCCTGGAGGCTCCCAGGTCCCTCCAAGCAGCACGGCAGTGACACAATCTGACACTCACTCCCAAGACAGCAAGAGGCAGCAGAACAGGAAAGGAGCTGGAGTGGGTTTGGCACCAAGCCCACTCTCTGTGTAAGCACTGACTCAACGGGAAAATATTCAGGGAAGAAAAGAAACCCCTTGATTAGAACAGTTTTTAAAGAGGCTGCCTGAAATGTTCTCTTTCTTCCCCTCTTATCTCCCGCATGATGAGCTTCCCTGTGTGGCTGAAGTTTACCAGGAAGGAATGTCTTGATCCATGACACAAGCCAGGCACCACCTGAGGGTTTGCTCTGTGTCCTCCCTGCTCCATGAGGCCTAGTGCTCGATCCAGAGCCTTTACTTCCAAAACCATGCAGGAAGAGTGCAAGGAACAGCTCCAGCACTGCTGACTAATGCCTGCAAGCTACGTATGATCCTGAGGAGATACTTCAGCCTCAGATTCTCCACCCCACAAAGGATGAGCAGTCCCAAACACAATCACAAGTTTCCACTTTTCCCACCACTTTTTATCCAGGATGAGCAGCACTCAGGTGAAGTGTTCCTTCCAGGACCTTATTTGTTTTCAGGAATCTCCTGGTCTAGAGGGATTGAAGAGGCTGGCAGGACTCAGGAGCTTCCCTTCTCCCAGCTCAGGGCTCTCCCACCATTCCCAGCCCTCCCCTCGGTGCCATCCTGCCTCCCCCTGCTCAGAAACCCACTCCCCTCACAGCAGACCCACTCACATCTTCCTACTTGATTCCAACAGGTATAAATTCCCCAGGAGCACAGGGAACACCAGGCTTTCCTCTATCTCACACCTCATTCTTTATGCACCCTACTCCCCCATCCCAGTATCTTTTCTCGCCCCCCTTTCTCGCCCCATTCCCTGCCTCCTTTGCCCCCTCCTTTTTCAGATAAGCTTCTCCACTCTCACTCCAGCCCTGCAGAATATTTATCTAATAAAGACTACAAAGAGACCAATTCATTCCACATATCTCACTAACCTCTATTTCTCCATTCTTATTATAACTCCCATTTATCTCCTCTGGACTTTTTCTGTAACCAGCCCTTTATCTCATCTCTTTCATGAGCATTCATTTGTCCAACTCATTTTCCTGACCCATTTCTTAGAATTACAGAACTGCAGCATCCTGAACAAAACACTCACCATGGAAAATCCCTGGCAGAGGACATGGGGCAGTTTAACCTGGAAGTCAGGCCGTGCCTGATCCAGCAGCAAAGCATATTCCTCATCAATGAGTACTTCCCATCGTTTTCCAAGCTGCTTTTAGTTTCTGTTACAAACTCAACGAGGAACTAATGCCTGATAAACTTGTATTTAATTACTGATTTATGGTATTAGTGTGCTAATCTAAGTGCTGTCTGAGTGCACACCCTTTCTTCACTTAATTTCCACACTGGTCACGGACAACACAACTCAATTTTTTGAGCAGAGAAGCTGAGAATGGGACAAGAGGAGAAGAGGGAGGCTGGGAATGCTCTGCTCCAACGCCAGGTCTTACCTGTGAGAGCCCAGGGGACGAGGCATGTCCCGGTGGCGTTGCAGCAAGATTTGGGTGTCCCTTATTTATTTCATGTGCAGTGTAAGGGGATGGGGCAGGAGGACCCGGTTGTCTTGCTACTTGTGTTACCTGTGTGGAGATAAACTGTTAGTAAAACAGAACATTAGTAACCAGGTCTGCAGAGACACTGAAATCTTCATAAGAAAGCAGCGAGCAGCACCTTCATAAATGTATATATATATATATATATTTATCTCTACATATCTCTTAAGGGAAAGGCTGCAAAGTTATTATATTTTCAGGAAAATGGGGAAGGATCAAAAAATAAGGGCACCAGCTGGAGTCACTGGTGGGAACGTTGTAGGAACTGGATTTTTCCTGCTGTGGTGCTGCTTTGCAATATCCCTTTGCCTTCAGGCCTGGGACCTTCTGGTCCCTCCATTAGAAGCCATATTGAAAATCTTGGGATTTGCAAAGGGACACACACTACCAGTGACCCAAAACACACAGTAAGGGGGAGATTTGCACATTCTCCTCCAAAAAGGAAAAAGAAAGGACTGCACAGGACCCTGGTATCTGCAGGAGGAAAGACTGAAATACCAAAGCCAATTCTTGCATGTGTGTTTATCTCCTTTCTCAGCTTCCATAAAAAATACTCATCAAAACATTACATGAAGTAAAATATAAAATATGTTCACAGCACACATACTCGCTCCCCTGGACTGTCTTCGTGATGGAACTATTTTAAATACATTTTATAGAGTTGCTTTAGTAAAAAAAGGAGAATCAAAGGAAAAAAAGAATCCCATAACTATCAGGTGGCGCCTCCCAGCAGTTCAACACAACTAAATTTTGGCAGATTTGGTTAAAACTCACAGAAATGCAGCACTTGCTTCTCACTGACCTTTCCTCATGCATTTTGTCTGCTGAAAAGCACCACTTAACCATGGAATGGTTTGGACTGGGAGGGACTTTAGGGACCATTCAATCCCACCCCCTGCCATGGGCAGGGACACCTTCCACTAGCCCCAGGTTGCTCCAAGCCCCATCCAACCTGGCCTTTGGACACTTCCAGGGCTGGGGCAGCCACAGCTTCTCTGGGCAACCTGTGCCAGGGCCTCACCACCCTCATAGGGAAGAATCTCTTCCCAGTGTCCCACCTAACCCTGCCCCCTGAGCTACAGGCACTGCAGGCCCCACGCAGGTCCCTGGCACTGCAGACAGATGGGTGTGCACAGATTTCCCCAGCCCAGATAAAGAAGGAAATTCCTGGTTCCTCTAAAGGACTATTCACCCCAAGCTCCAAGAGAGCAAAGCACGAGAGCAGAAGTCCCAGAGTGCAGCACTAATTGCCTTTCCCGAGCCATTTTACTGCACTCCAAGTATCGATGTCTGTCCTTCCAGTCCCTGAACCACTTCAAGGGCTGCGCCAGCAGCGAGAACCACAACCTGCAACTGCTCTGGGCTTGGGAACGGGCCAGGATCCTTCCCTGAGGGAAGATTTACAGCAGCCCTGTGCTCACCAGAGGAAAGGGTGGGTCAGGCAGAGCAGCTCAGCCTCTGTCCCCAACGGGATCCTGCCCCTGGCCAGGGATGAATCATCTCTCCCTTTGGGCTGATCTCTGCTGGCAGGTGTGAGCACACAGAACCAGAGTCAGCCTGACAGACCATCAGAAACTTTCCACAGCCCAACCCTGAGAAAATCAAAGTCTCTTCCCTGACTCCTGTGACAACCCTGAGAGACTTGTCATGTCAATTGTGCAGCAGTCTGGGCTCAGCAGCAACTGTGAATGATGGGTATCAAATAATGCAGTTCAGGGGGAGAAGGAAGCAAAGGAAACACAAAATACAAGGAAATCATTCCTATCAACGGCCCCATCAGCAGGTTGTGTCCATGCTCAGCACCAGCATGTCTCCCTGAATGTCACTTCTTGAGGTAAAACAGAGGTTATTTTGCAATAGCTGTGGGACTTGGACCACTGCCAGCTCTTCCCTCCCTACACCCACCAGTGCTCACTGATCCACAACCAGAAATCCTCAGCTCCAACAGCCCCCGTGTCCACACGGAGCTGTGACGAGGGGACAGGGGCACTGATAACACCCCAGGTCAGTGTGAGCAATCAACAGTCCTCTTTGGGAATTACAACACACAAACAGAATCACTGAATAGAATATTAGAATCATTTAGGTTGGAAAAGCCCTCCAAGATCACCAAATCCAATGATTCCCCCAGCACTGCCAGGTCCACCACTAACCCATGTCCCCAAGTGCCACATCCACAAACCTTTTGAACGCTTCCAGGGATGGGGACTCCACCACTTCCATAGGGAAAATAACCTCAGATGGAGGTTAATTAAAGACAGCAAGGAATGCTGTTCTGATTGGGTCTGGAATCTGGAAGCTGAACTGAGAGGAAAACTGTGCAGCTGCTTGGAATGATGGTGCCCGAGATATCCCCGTGCAGTGCAGCAGAGAAGCAGCAGATACATGATGGGCACAGGTCTGGAACCACTAAAATTTGCCTGAAAGCCTAATTAAGGCAGCAGAACAATTATAAAATCTTACCAACAACACCACACTTGGACAGCATCCCATGGGAACCCACCACTGACCTTCCACGACCTCCTAAGATCAGGTGGTCCTTCCAGCAGAAGGAAAAGCAGAGAGAACCTTTCTCAGCAGCACCAGCAAAGGAGGTGTTTCTACACCTTCCTCTTCCTACCACAAATTACTTACAAATAAAATGAAATGTAAGATGCTGATTTTAATGACAACAGGTGATAAAGGAAAACAAACTTGCTGCATTTGTGTGTCCATTTGATAACTGTTAACAAATCCATGAGGGAGAGCCTATCCAAGCTCATCCCTTTTGGGATGCCTGTTCCCATCACCACACCCTGGGGTGTGGTTTGCCCTTTATTAAATGGTCTGAGATTACTATGGAAGCAAATATCCCCCTTAAATCTATAGATTAAATTGTTCTCCTAAAAACAGATCCACAAAATGACATATTAATTTGCTAGAGCATCACTTTCTGTTTTCCCTGAGTACCAAGAGGCTCACTTTAGTTTTCCAGAAGCCTTATTAATCCTGTGTTTTAAAGGAAGTAAACACAGGAGAGATGACATAAAAACTCAGTCTGGAATTCTTGATTTTCTTTTTGAGATTAAATCTTTTGGGTTTAGCACCATTTACAAGTTTGGGATTATTCTTCCCCCTACCAAGTACCTGATTTCAGGTACTTCAGAAGCTGCCCCATCCCTGGAGGTGTCCAAGGCCAGGTTGGATGGGATTTGGAGCAACATGGGCTAGTGGAAGGTGTCCCTGGCCGTGGCAGGGGTGGGATGGGGTGAGGAACTGAGCATCCCTCCTGCACACTCTGCAGCCAGGCAGGGACCGCGCCGGCCTCCTGACCCAGATCCTTCCTTTAAGCACAGGGTGGCTGGAGCAGCTAATCCTCCCTAATCTCCTCCCTACAGGATTCTCTTCACTGCAGGAAGATCCCCTTAAAGGACACGAAGGCGAATCACGGAGTGCTGGGCCCAGCCAGGCCCAGGGACTCTGCTCAAGGCTGCCCCTGACCAGGTGACAAACCCTTCTCCCCACACAGGCACCTCTCACTAACACTCATTTCTAACCAGTTCACACCCAGGAGTCAACCAGAGAAGCCCAGGATAGTTTGGGTTGGAAGGACCTTAAAGCTCATCCCATTCCGGGGCAGGGACACCTTCCACTGGCCCAGGCTGCTCAGGTCCCAGTGTGGCTCCTCAGCTTATCCCAAAGTATTTCTGGTCTGAGTTTCAGCACCTGAGATCACAGCATGTTACTGAGGGAGCTGGGAACCTCCACCACAACCTGCCAAAAAAGGGGATTTGTGCAAAAACTGGATGTCCATTTCCACAGTTACTCCTCTTATCCAGTTCCCAACTCAGGCTGGATTTGAGGAGCGTCTGCTCCCGGTCATTTGTTCACATGAATCTCATTTCAATAAAATCAGCCCCATTTCTCTGGGCACAGGGGTGGCCTGTGGGATTTATGGTACCATGGGTGCAGTTCCCCTGCTGTTAGAAGTCAACATCCTTCCAAAAAACTCCAACCCAAAAAACTCTCTTGAATATATTTCTTTGAAATAACTTACAACAGAAACAAAACTTCATTTTTATTCCCCGTCTAAACTCTATAGTTCTGGCATCTTACAGCAGACACACGAGTAACCATCCTAATTTCTTGCAATATAAAGAATTAGGAAACACCAGGCAAGAAGCTGCTTAAAGGGCAAACCCCAAATCCTTATGTCCAAATCTAGCTCTTTTGATAGAGTGTCTCCATTATTGATGAGGGGAAATTATTACAAGATTAGTTCATTGAAATAATTATTTCCAACTGTGATTTGCTTTAAAATAATTCTACCCTAGATTGATTTACTTAAAAAAAAAAACCAATCCAACAACTTCCTTAATATCAGTATTTTCTACAGGACACTATTAAATAAACAAAGACGACACATGATGAATTTAGGTGGGTTTGGTTTTAACACCATTATGATTTCCTTGAGAAAGAGTTTCTACCAAAGTTCTGTTGGGAATTTTGAGCATCTCCAAGTTCTCAAACTGCATCCCACTTGGCCTCCTCCTCAGCTCCTGTCTCTGCCCTACAGGAGGACTTGTTCCTCTGCTTTAGTTTTATTACTGGGGCTCATTCTGGAAGCCACTTGATTTTCCATTCCCAGTTTTGTAGCTCTGGAAAAAACCAGCTCTGGAATGTGCAACTAAGTTCCTGATAAGGCATGTGGAAAGGCATGGGAAGGAGAACTGAACTGGTTTTCATCTTTATCTAACTAAAAATTGGGGTTTCACCTGGGGGTTGCCGCAGCCTCCAATGGTTTGTCCTCCCATCCCATGCACGACACACGGGGACACCGAGGCAGCTCGGAGTCACCACGGGGTGCTTTCAGACCCCAAAGCTCTTCCCAAACCAACCACCCTCTCAAAATACCCATCTCTGAAAACGCTGATCCATAATCCCTGTGAGATCCCACCCAGCAAACCAACCGTGGAAGGCGAGAAGCAGCCCTGGGTGCTGAGGATGGACCCCAAGGTTGGACTTGGATGATCCTGGAGGTCTTTCCTCCAACTTTAATGATTCTGTGATTCCATGGTGACCTTCCACACCTTCAATTAGGTTTTTTTGTAAAATCTAGGCAAGCTATATATAAAAATCGTCAACTAAAAAGTTATTTATCTGTTGCAAACCCAGCCCTTAAATCCCCGATGCTCTTACTTGTGTAACAAAGACCTTTCATGAATGAATTTGTCAAGGCTCTCCCATCATGTGCTTTTTCCATCCCAATTCATTTTTCTCTGGACTTCTCTAAATCTGCCAACTGCCTGGGGCTTCAAATGGAAGCCCAAAAGGAATCCAGCTGAGAAATTTCTCTCCTTTCCCCAAAACATGATATTTTCTCTCAAACTTGTGCTTTCTTACAGCCTGGAACTGAGACGCTCCCAGTCCTGGCTTCTATTCCTGTAACACAGCAAGGAGTGATATTTTTCCACACTGAAAAGCTATTTTAGGTCATTCTTCACAGTTACTTTTCTATTTTACATTAATTTAAATTTTTACAGTCATATTTTCCCCACAGGCATCTGCATTATATCTTAGGAGGAGAGAGTTGAAAAAAATAACCCTCTTTAAAAGGAATTCAGATATTTTTAAAGTGGTTTTTAAGTGCTGTATGAGGTACATAAAGGACAATAAAAACTGAATTATTTATTACAACTGTTTGTACATTTATGTTCACAGAATCCCAGAATGGTTTGGGCTGGAAGGGACCTCACAGATCATCTTGTTCCATGGGCAGGGACACCTTCCACCAGCCCAGGCTGCTCCAAGCCCCATCCAACCTGGCTTGGACACTTCCAGGGATGGGGCAGCCACAGCTTCTCTGGGCACCCTGTGCCAGGGCCTGCCCACCCTCCCAGGGAAGAATTTCTTCCTAATTTGTTCCTTTGGTGTTGTTTTTTCCCACACATACATCCATGTATCAGATACTGAGGACAGAGAGAGCAAAAAAAATCAAACCCCACCTGCAGCTTGGGTTTGTTATTCACTGCTGTCAACAACAAACCTCTAAATCCTAAACCCTTGCTGGAGTTGTATCCCAACCTTTCCAGCTCCCCTGGATGGAAACCCAGGGCTGGCTGCCCACCAGACCATCCATGGCCAAGCCCAAGTCCTTCTGCTCCCAAAAGTGTCACCTGAGTCTCTGCCTGGACCAAGGGGCACTTGGCAGCACTGGCACCCTGAGCCCAAAGCTCAGCCTGGCACCTCCTGACAGCAGCTGCTCTGGTAGAAGAGGCATCTCTAGCACCCAAAAAGGGAAGGGACCAAAGATTATCATCATGGAATGGTTGGGGTTGGACAGGACCTTAAAGCTCATGTCATTCCATGGGCAGGGACACCTCCCACTGTGCCAGGCTGCTCCAACCTGGCCTGGGACACCTCCAGGGATGGGGCAGCCACAGCTTCCCTGGGCTAAAGATGTTCCAGCCCAGGACCCCCCACATGGAACCAGAGCTGACAACCCCATTCCCAGTCACTCCTGCAAACAGAGGAGGAGAAAACCTCACCCAGCAGCTTATGTCTTCTATAAGCAGCTTATGTTACTGCATAAAATACAGTGAATTTATCCCATCTACAGCTTTTCTTCCTGATTTCCAAATAATTAAAAGAGCAGCTTAAAAGCATTTTTTGCTTTGGCATTAAAAATATTTGCACTATCCCAACCAGAAAAGCAAAATATAACTTTCCCAGGGCTGTGCTGATTAGGCAAAGCTTATAAATAACCCTGGGCTTCCAGCTATTGCCATTGGAAAAAAAAGAAATGAATAAAATGAACACACTATCATGTGTTCACAAATAAACATCACTGTGTTTCTAAGCTAAAATTCCACAATAATCAATATTATACATTAACAAACATGTAGGACAGTGAGCCAAAGGCACCTATAGATATTCAATCTACTATTAACAAATTTCTTCCTCTGTGTAATGGAATGCTTTCACATGGAAACAAATCTTCCTTGATTATTTCTCTGATGCTCTGAAGGTATTGGAAATGTGAAGCCACTAACACACTCCAAGTCAGTCTTTGAGATGCAGGGGGAAGGAAGGAGATGGAGTCACAGAGGGAATATATGGCCCAAACATTGTCACTCCAGTGAAACTGTTGGGAAAACCCACTCTCCCATCTGCTAAATAAAACTAGAGACACTTAGAAAGAGGAATGGACCCACAAGTCCTCCCAAGATTTCTTCCTTTCCTGCTCATGTGCAACAAAAAAGGGTCTTCATAAAATCACAGAATTATTAAGGTTGGAAAAGACCTGCAAGATCATCAAGCCCAACCTTTGGCCACTATCCCCATTTCCAGCAAATCACATCCCCAGGTGCCACATTCAAACTTTTTTTGAACACTTCCAGGGGTGGGGACTCCACCACTGCCCTGGGCAGCCCCTTCCAGTGCTTGACCACCCTTTCCATGAAGGAATTTTCCCAATATCCAATCTAAACCTCCCCTGGCACAACTTCAGGCCATTTCCCACTGTCCTGTCCCTTGTTCCCTGGGAGCAGAGCCTGACCCCCACCTGGTTCCCCCCTCCTGAGCCCTCTCCCTTCCCTGCTCACATGCAACAAAAAGGATCTTTATCCAGCACCATTTATTTCAGGAGGCAAAGAGAAGTTGCATCTTTTTAAACGTATGTTTTTTAGTTGTATGGCTCCTAATTGCACTAGGTTTTTTCAATAACTCTATGACAATACAGTTGATATAAAATAGACCATGACATGACAGATGATGTGCTTCCCCAAGCCCCAGGGAGGGGGCCTGGGCAGATACTCACAGTGCTGTACACAGCGGAGACGGTCGGAGTGAAGATCCGATCCTCGAGGGGCTGCTGGACAGGACCTCGGGGGATTCTGCAACACAGCAGGTCAAGGAAAGCAGCCTGGAAGGCAGGGCTGGGATGTGGGGACACCTCCAGGGGACACCCCCCACCCCAGCACTCCCAGGCAGCTCCAGTCCCTCAGGTTCTCCCAAAGAGGACACCCCCCCACCCCCAGGACTCAGAGCCACCCTGCCCTGGCAGCTCCAACCCCACAGGTTCCCCCCAAAGAGGAGTAGAGTGTGGCTCCAGAGGCCATTCCCACAAACACAGCGAGGGAACCTGAACAATCCACAAAACCTTGGGCCTGTCAAGAGCATCCCCCAGCCCTGCTTTTATTTGGAAGAGTAAGGGAAAAATCCCAGGAGCCACAAGCCCCCCCGGCATTCAGCAGGACAAACCCTGCTGACCAGCAGGGCCCCGGGACAATGGCAGCTCCTGTTTTGCTAAGCAGGCAGGAATCCCGCTGGAATTGTTTCCTTGTTTGCCTCTCCTCACCCATTGACTCCTTTCCTCCTCTGCCCTCCAAAAAAAAAGGGGCTGTCGGATAAATGGGAGGTTTCGAGGAGCTGCTGCAGGGGGATTTAAAGGCAAAACACAAGAGGTTGCTTAGACTGGAAAAAAAAAGGGAAAAAGACCTTATGCTCAAAAAGAAAAAAAGCTAGAATCTGGTTTATTTGTGGACTAAAACAAGGGGATGCAGGAATTTAAAAGAAAAAAAAAAGCCTGGCTTAGGTAATACCTTGTGGCCTTAGGCCCAGCATGTATCTGTCAAGAAAAAGTCACTTACTGAAAAATTTTCCTAAATGCCATAATCAGATTTCACCTTTTTGCTGTTTATATTTTATACATCAAAACCTCATGGAAAATGAGAACAGTCTGATTAAGGCAAGACACAAACCTCACATGTTAACATGGTGGGATATTTTAAATAGTCATGAAAACACTTCTTGATTTTGTTCAAACAAGGAAAAACACAGTCCTAAGCTAAATTTTGAGCCCAGAAGATTAGTTTGAGTCTTTCAAGAGAATCTTTGCACTACAAGTTTGATCTCCAAATTAATTCTGCTGCCCAAAGCTTTGCAGGGACCAAAATCACAGCGACAGGACAGACCCCACCAGTGCTGACAACACTCAAGAGCGACCCGAGGTACAGAATCCAACCTGTTCCCCCTAAAATGGGACCAGTTTTTAAGGCTGATGTCAGGACTGTTCAGACACAACCTGCTCTGCCCCTGCTGACTGTTCCCAGCACCCCCAAGCTGGATCAACTCTTCCTTGAGCAGCACTTAGGCAAATCTACAGCATCAGAAACAAATATACGGAATTAAATGTACAATATCGCACCATTTTGGCTCTGAACACATCACTGGAAAGCTCCTCCCTCACCAACAGGCTCAGAAATTGCTCTAAACCCTCCCAAATTTGTTACATATTCAGTGTTTGAGCACCAGACGTGATAAAAACCTGGCCTGATAGGATTAGGCTGGGAAGGGCCCGGCCCTGACCTTCACAACACCTTCAGTCAGTCCTGTCCTGTCCATCCCGCAGGTGAGACACAGGACACAGCCCAGGAACAGCTCCAAGCTGGGAAAACCAGGAACAGGATGCAGCCCCACTGGTTCCCAGGATGGGCTCACTCCCCCTCCACCTCTTTCTGCCTCTTTTCAAGGAGTGCAGGGATTTGTTGGCAGGGTCCAAGGCTCATCCTCACCCCCAGCCCTGCCAGCTCAGTCCCCAGTGGTGCCATTTCACAAGGAAAGAGGTTTTTAACAACCAAAGGGGATTTTGGCTGACTCAGCAAAACAACCATAAGATTTGACACAGACTTCAGCAGAGCCAAGGCACCACTCCCAGCCTTCATCCCGAGGATCTGTGCCTGAGTTCTGCAAGAAAACAGCAGCAGAAAGCCAAAATTTGGGAGTGGAGAATTAGAAACACACTGTAAGGCAGAATTAAAACTCGTGTTTCCTGCTGTAGCACTGTTCCCTCAGCCCCAGAACATCCCTGTGACAGGAATGACAGCCCAAGGCCCGGGATGGAGCTGCCCCCCTTGTGTCACTGAGAGATTTCCCATCTCCAGGCAGCCCTGACAATTTAAGGAAGCAATCGCTGCTTCAAAAGGGATCGTTCCGGAGTTTGGAAAAACGGTTTCATCCTCGACAAGGTTGGGATTTATTTTCTTATTTTAGAACTTATATAAGGCAGGAGGAAATAATCTTCTTTGAGCAGAGCACCCGCTCTTTTTGCACCCAGGAAGAGCTGCCTGGAGGAAGGAGCAGTTCAAAGGGATCTGCAGAGTTTGGGGTCAGTGTTTGAGATCACTCCCAGAATGGGATGATTCTCATCAGAAGAATTAAAATTAAAAGAAACCTTTTAAGTCCTTTTTGCCAAAGGATTTGACCTGGACACAAGACTGAGGGGGGCAAAATGCCTTAAATTCCAGTAAGCCTTAATGAGATATAATGGTTGGGGAAAGTGAATATTTCCAGCACCCAACTTTGACTCTCTGCAAGAAGATGGGCTAGAGGAGAAATTCCTGCTTCCCTGAAAGGAGCTGGGCTAGTGGAGAGAGATTCCTGCTTCCTCTCAAGGAGCTGGGCCAGTGGAGAGATTCCTGCTTCCCCTCAAGGAGCTGGGCTAGTGGAAAGTTCCCTGGTTCCCTCCAACCCCCCCAGAGCTCGTTTTGGCTCCCCAGAGGAAATCCCCACCTTCCCTCTCCGTCCACCTGCCAAAGGAGCCCATCCTGGGATAACAGCTGCTGTCACTGTGGGAGAAGTGAGCCAGGGTGACAGCAAAGTTCATCAGAGTCGTGCTAACGAGGCTCTTTCCTAGAAGTGGGTTAAGTGACAGCACGGGGACTCCCCATGGGAGGTGAACGGGTCAGGGCAAGCAGGTGGGAAGTGGAACCTCATCCAGCAGCATCATCCCATCCCGTCCCAAACCATGCCAGGGCACTCACACAGAGGTTTTGGTGCCGTGAAGGGCTGCACAGCCCAAAATGCAGCACAACCCCTGGGACTGCTGCCCTCCCACAGCCCCAGCACACACAAACAAGTTCAGGAATTAAAGTCCAACCAGTCTGGCTCCACTGCAGCACTGGATTCCCCACAGGCAGGAACACCAGGATGTGCTGAATAACTCGGGCAGCTCTTTCACGTTACTATTCTGGCATGGGTAGATCCAATTCAGGAGCATCCTGTGCCCTCCCTCTTCCTTCTCCTCCCCTATATCCTTGCCACCCACGTCACTGACTTGTGCAGCCATGCTCCAAAATGATCCAGGAGGCTGGGAAGGGAGAGGGAGGGGTGGAAAAGCAAAGATAACCCAAACCTCACACCGTTTTCAGAGCTCCTTCTGCAGGGAGAAAAGACAAGGAGAGCGACGAAGCAGGAGCAAGGGCAACCTCTTATATCCAAGGGGAATCTCTTAAACCACCTCTGCAACCATCAGGTCAGTAAAGAGGAACTGCAGCCTGTGTTTTGCTCCTTACAGCTCTCCCTCCTCCATGAGCAGCATGCCAGAATCCAGGAGAAGGACGGCAGCCAACGGGCAGCGCCGGCGCTGGATCCTCCTCGTGGCTGTTCAGGGCTCATTAACTCATGAAATATATATTTAAAATCTCACCTAAGTGAGATACTTCTGGCACATTAATAAATGCAGGCACAGATGCAATGGGAGTTCCACCCAGTCCCCATTTGGCTGCAGCAGGATTACAAGCTGGGGAATTTTGGGAGCTGTTACAGACCCGGTGGGAAAAGGAACACCGGCTGGAAACCAAACAGAATTTTTCTGGAAACCAAAAATCTCCCTAAAAAGGGGAGAATCTCTTTTAATTAGACGGCCACAGCCACACTCTGAGGAGAGGGGAATATGAGACTGCTCTGTAAAGCAATTAAGGAAAACAAATCCAGCCCAGAGCTGCTGGAGCAATCAGAGGCACTGCCAAATGCTGAGTGAAATGACAGTCAGGAGGAATTCCTTGCAGAAATCTCCTCCTTGTATCACATTTCTCTGCTTGTTCCAATCATGCTACAAAACTGCAATTCTGTGAGATTCCTGTGTGCTGCTCCAGCAATGAACGACCTGGAAATACGCAGCAAAATCAGCTCTTAAGCAGGAATTTGTACAGGTTTTCCTGCTCTGCTCCTGCCTCTGAGGTTGGAGGGGGGAAGAAATAACTCCATTATGTTTCCTCCCAAAATGGATTCATTTTCCCTCGAATAGTGCTTCTCACCTAAGCTCATTTCAGCCACTACCACCCATTTTCCCCTGAGCAGGCACTGCTGGCCTCTCCTCCCCTCCCAGCTCCGAGGAAGCACCTTCTCACAGGAATAAAAATATCCCCGGTCCCCAGGGGTGCCTTTCACAAAACCATTCCAGAACTCCTAATTTTCATCCCTGCCCAGAAACAGTCTCCCACCAGCCATGCCCAGGGTTATATAATCCCCACGCGTGCCCCTGCTTGTACCGAAACTGTGTATTAAAAAACACAAGATAAAACCATCAAGGGAGATTACAGGAGGGCAAGAAACCACATCAAATTCGAGCATTCCTTCCAGCTTTTTTTGAGCAGGGAATCTACAAAGCTGCTCTGAGCAGGCAGGGCTGTGATGGCAGGGAGCTTTAGGAGAGCGTGTTTCTCCTCTGCAGCCTCTCCTCTATTCACCGCGCAATTAAAATGCAGGAGGTGAAACCCCAACAGCAGAAACACTCCATTGAGCCGGCTGGGAAACCGCTCGGGCTCTGGAAACGTTCAAAGGGAGAGGCTCTGCCAGTCACAGCAGCTGGAACTTCCCCGGCATCACCCCATCCTTGGCAGCTCCACCATCCTCCGTGCGGGGCGAAGCCTTTGTTCGGCACGCTCGGTCCTACCTGGCAGCGAGATCCAGAGAGCTCCGGCAGTGGGATCCCGGAGAGGTCAGCAGTGAGATCCCAGAGAGACCTGGCGAAGGGATCCCGGGGAGATCCAGCAGTGAGATCCTGGAGCTCTGGCAGCGAGCTCCAGGGAGCTCCAGCACTGAGATCCTGGAGCCCTGTCAGTGAGCTCCAGAGAGCTCCAGCAGTGAGATCTTGGAGAGATCTGACAGTGAGATCCCAGAGAGCTCTGTCACTGAGATTCCAGACAGCTCTGTCAGCGAGCTCCAGAAAGGTCCAGCAGCGAGATCCCGGAGAGCTCCAACAGTGAGATCTCGGAGAGACAGATCTGACAGGAGCTCCAGAGACCTCCCCCAGCGAGATCCTGGAGAGCTCCGTCAGCGAGCCCCGGAGCGCTCCATCAGCGAGATCCCAGACAGCTCTGGCAGTGAGATCCCCGAGAGCTCCATCACTGAGATCCCCGAGAGCTCCGGCAGGAAAATCCCAGCTCAGCGCCGGGTCCTCTCCCCGCATCCACGAGCGGAGCCCATCCCAGCCGCATCCCGGCCGTGCCACACCGGGCTGGCTCCGGAGCTCTTCCTGCCTGTCGCCCTCGCAGGCAGAGCCTGAGCTCTTAAAGAGGCAGCGCAAGGGGGGCCTCAGCGATGCCCTTCTGCTGGGGTTTGGTACCCAAGTGCATCCAGGCTGCTGAAATCCCTCTGCTTCCCCAATTTTTCCACTGTGCCCGCGGCGCAGAAGGGATGGGAGGCAGCATCGTGCTCCTCTTAGCAAGTCTATATGGGATAACAATCAAGCCAGGCTTATAAAGGCACGGATAAGGGAAAAACATCAGCTCCCCTGAAGCACAGTGTGGTCTGGAAAGCTGCATGGCAAGGAATGAGGAGCTCGGAAAGCTCCAGTGCTGGGGAGGATTAAACGGCAGCACAAACTCCTCAGCAGGAAATTTTGCAGCTTGTTTGCCTCTGCTTTCCAGTCACTACCCCCAAACTCAGCACCACGACCCTCTGCTCTTAGCAACCACTTCATCCATCAACTCCCCCTTCAAAATCAATCCCTCTTTTGACAGATCATGTTTCAGAAGCCTGGGGAAGGAAAGCTGGTAAAGCAAACTACAGCCTTTAAACAAATCGAAACAACAAGAAAACCCCAAATCAACCCCCAAGTGAAAGTCACCTGGGAAAAAAATAACGTGTAAGATAAAACCAATGTCATCCTCCTGCTCCACGCTGAAAAGTGACAACCAAACCGACTTCATCCAAGGAAAATAAAAGTCAGGTCACAAAGCAAGTAACTCCAAACTTAGGAAAAGGCAGGATTGATGTTACCTGGGTGACCAGAATTCAATCCCCCCGTGTATCCACAGAATCCAGCCCTTAATTACAGGCACATGCTGGTTTCCCTCATGTCCTTGTCACCTCCACGTTTTCATCTCTTACAGGACTCGAGCACCCCCGACCACAGCTGAGTGTGCTCATAACAAATGAGAGATAATTAATATTACAAAAATCAAGACCAACATTATTCAAGGATTTTGGAAAACATTTAAAGACTTAAAACCCACCTAATGAAATGCCAGCCTTCTCTAACCTTTCCAAAGCCTCCACCCAACGACATATCCCATTTCCCATCCTTGCAGAGATCACGTTTCATTTCAGGGTGGGTTTGGGGTTTATTTTGTCTGCTCAGGGTTTTCTTTGCTGGTGGATTCCTGATAAGGGGGCCACTTTCACAAGAATGATGTGGCCTCTGTATGAAAACACTGCTTTTATTTTCATTTTCTTAGCCAGATGCAACTGCTCTTGAGCAATATGGTGAGATGTCAAAGTGAAGCACAATTCCGAGCCCTGACTGTTCCACAGGTCAAGCCCCAGTGGGGCACTGCTGTTTCAGTGTTTGGTGTTTATTGTTATTATACCAGGGAAAAAACAAATACAACTCTTTTGCTGGCATGAGCACTCAGGGATACGGTCACAGTTAAGGGCTGCAGGTGAGGAATTCCTTAAAAGACCTTGTCAGCTTTACACCTTAATAATTAATACTTAAATCTGGTCCAAAGACGTATTTCTGGCAAGCCAAAGGTTTTAAAAATAAAGGAACATGACAAAAGGTGTTTGTAAATAGGCAAAAATGGGGTTTATGGTTTAAAAGTACCAAGGTTTGTAACAGAGCAGTGCATCATTCCTGCCAACAGAAACCTCCAGGATGCACCACCTTCCCTAATGACTTATCCCCAGAAGGATCCGATGGCAAAAGCCATTAGCAAGCTTGTTCCAACATTTTATGGCCCAGTATAAAGCTCTTCAGTGCCACATGTGTAGTTAGTGTTCACAGCCCAGCTGCCATTTATCAAACATATAAATTTTAAGTGGATCAACGAAGTGTTTGTGCAACGACCTCTTTAATCCTTCGTGTATTTTGTGTATTAAACAGTAACACCCAATTCTCTTCAAGTTCTTGTTTATGGGCTGTTTTATACTTGGAACAATACTTTAAATAAGGTATTTATCTTCTGCTTTTGTAACAGGAATTCACCTACATAAATATAGTGGATGTCTCAGGGCTCCTTTATGGCCTCGTTGGAAATCCCAGAGTACAGGACTGGTGCCTTGGTCCCCAGCTGAACTGCGTGATGATCACGGGAAGTGACAGGGCTTGTCCATCCCTCTGCCATCCAAGTGCTCCTCATTAAATCATCCTCTCCTGAGCTCTGCCCAGATCCCAGTGTTACAGGGAGGCTTTCCCTGCTTATCCCAGCTTATGCCTCTGAACAAACGTTCATAATAAACATCCCATAATAAAACTTTTCTTGAAATTCATCTTGAGCTTTTTACCTAATTACGTATCATTGATCTCAATACCAGCTTCCAAATAATCCCAAACACTTCCCTTCCCTGCTGTCTGCCACACAATGGTCCCTGAGCTGTGCTTGCACGGGGCTGAATGGGAACAGGCAGAGCTTTCCAAAGGAAAGGGGCACACAAATCCCAGTGAACCTCAATGCCTGTCGGAAGACAAGCTTTCCAAGGCTGAAAATTGCAGCTTGAAAGGAAACTGTGACCTTCAAATGCTTACTGAACAGCATGCTGTCCCTCTCCTTCCTCCAGCTACACAGATCACTCCTCCCCTCCCCTCGGAGCCCCGACATGTTTGGGATCTCTGTGGATGGGTTTGGGATCTCTGTGGATGGGTTTGGGATCTCTGTGGATAGGTTTGGGATCTCTGTGGGTGGGTTTGGGATCTCTGTGGATGGCGGTGCTGGCATGTCCAACTGTGTGACTGGAGTTCAGGGGGCACAGCCCCCCAGCACAGCCCCAGCCCTTCTGGCTGAGCAAACCTGCTCCAGCCACACTGCAGCAGCCCCAGCCGAGGGGCACATCCTGGTTACACCCCAGCATATCTTAAAATCCTCCAACTTATACCCTTTTTAAATATCCATTCCACAAAGTATCACAGGATCCCAGAATGGTTTGGGTTGGAAAGGACCTTAAAGCTCATCCAGTCCCACCCCTGCCATGGGCAGGGACACCTTCCACCAGCCCAGGTTGCTCCAAGCCCTGCCCAACCTGGCCTTGGACACTTCCAGGGCTGGGGCAGCCACAGCTTCTCTGGGCAACCTGTGCCAGGGCCTCCCCACCCTCTCAGGGAGGAATTCCTTCCTAATATCCCATCTAGCCCTGCCCTCTGGCATTTTAAACCATTCCCCCTTTTCCTGCCACTATCTGTCCACATAAAAAATCCCCTTTCTCTCTTTTTTATAAGCCCTTTTCCTTTTAGGTTTTGGTCCACGTGAGATACCTCTCACAGCCGAGCCAAGTGGGAATGCTGAAGGAAAGGCGGGAGTTAGAGGGGAAGGTAACAGGAAAAACCCACCCCTCTGCTGCAAATGAACTGAATTCCCAGCACCCCCCTCACTCCGTCATGCTTTCCAATACAAACCAGCAGGATTGGGAGCACCAGCTGCAATAGTTCCACCTGCACACAAGCACCTAATTAGGGAGAGCTCATTACTTCCAGGCTCAGTTTTGAATCTCTAAATTAACCAGCACGGGCGACAGCTCACTCAGAGCTCATCAATCACCCAGACCTCGCCTCACCCCCCTGTGTCTCCCCCAGCCCTGAGAGAGTTCCCGGGGGGAACCAGGACCCAGATCCTGGCAAACGGCACAAAAACCCAATCAATGCTTTGCTCGATACAAATGTGTCTCTAAGGGCAACCTGATTTTGTTACTCCATCTCTGTCTCCCTCAACTGCAGCCCCAGCACGGAGACAAACTGGCTATTTTCAGCTGAGACCTGCAAAGGTTGTTTGGGGTGGAAGAAACCCTGTCTAAATCCTGCTAATCCTGCTGGGATTTTCCCTGAAGGGGGGTGTTGGTGTGTGGAGGACAAGTCTGGAAGCCACAAAACAGAATATTTCTGGAACTGTGAACTCTGGTGTATCTTTATTTTTAACAGCAGCATCTCCCAGAAGTGGGTTTTTAAAGCACAGCCTGGATAAGGTTAAATCCAGGTCTGAACCAAGCTGTGAAATATTAGTAATTAACAAAAAAGCCACAGAGGCTCCTTGGATCGTGTCTGTGCCAGCTCAGGTAACACAAAGTGAACAACGTGCCAGGAGAGCATCCCTTGCTCAGCCACAGGCAACTTCTCACCAGCTGACTTGTCCTCTTTTCCTCCATAAAACACCAGCCAATTCCATATTTTTCTAATTCACATTTTATTCTCACAATAAATGGACTCTTCTAAGAGATGGAAAAGTCAATAGATGCCATCAGCTCCCTTCAGCTGGAAATCATGGCATTACCTCTCCGCAGAGGCAACGGCATCACGGGGAACATGCTGATGTAGCCCTAAAATTCCATCTCATTTTAGGAGGGTTATTTATGATTGCACTTGTCCACGTTAATTGAAACTCCCATTAGGCTGCAGGAACAGACACCACTCAGGAACCTGGAGCAGCCCCATTTGTCTTCAACAGTCCCTGCTGCTCTGAGTGATCCTTGACTGTCCTCGAG